CTCGGCTGGCTGGAGCATCGCGCTGGGGAACCTGAGAAGTTTATCAAAGGGAGGTGCGAAGTCCTGCCCCTGAGGGGGAGTAACCCCTGGTGCCGCACAGCGCGGAGAGCAGCTCCGCAGAGCGGAGGGGACCTCGGGGCCCCGTGGGCTACAAGCTGGGTGTGAGTTATTGGTGAGCCCCGGCAGCAAAGAAGGTCACCCGCACCCCCGGCTGCGAGAGGAAGAGCGCTGCTCTTAGCCTGAGGGAGGTGATCCTTCCCCTCAGCACAGGGAAGGCCGTATCGGGGTGCCCTGTGGGCTCCCCAGCACCGGAAAGATACGGGCTTACTGAAGTAGGTCCACGAAGTGACAGACCAAAAAGCCAGTTGAGAGAAGGGAGCGTGCAACATGCAATGGTGGACTGAGAGAGCTGGGACTGCACAGCCTGGAGGAGCCTCAGGAGGATCTTCTTGATGTATATAAATAAACACTTGATAGGGGGGTGTAAAGAAGAGGGAGGCAGACTCTACTTGTTAGTGCCTACTGACGGTACAAGAGGCAATGGGCACAAGCTGGAACATGAGAAAGCTTATACATGAGAAAACCCTTTTCTGCTCTGTGGGTGATGAGGTTCTAGAAGAGTCAGATGGGTTGTGGGGTCTCTAACCCATCTGAACGAGGACCTGAGCGGCATGCTGTAAGTGACCCTGGGGTAAGCAGGGTGATCTAGAAGGTCTCCAGAGGTGCCTCCCAGCTCTGCTGTGGCTCTGTGATTGTTCCCTTGGGGTTTGGGCAGTTGTATACCTTCCCATTCACTTGTCCTAAAGGGGAGCTTCGTGGGTCTGGGTTTGGTAAATTTTTTAAAATTCATCACTGTGTTGTGGTATGGTGGGGCTTGACTATTCCACAGTGAAGATTAGTGTAGCAAACAGCTTCTTAATAATTTGAATATTATAATAATATGTGCATATATACAATGTATATATGTAGTAATATGTTGACAGTTTTATGTTAAAAGAAACCACAGAAAATGCTCTGAAAGAAAATCTGTGGGTTATTAGAAGCAATATTTGTTAATTTCATTGATTTGTCAAGATCCAGATATTTAGATTCCTGGTTCTTAACTTCCCCATCTGTCCTGGGGACTGAATTGTTATTGGAATCATTGCTAATCACTCTTAAAATTGGATCAAATTGCCATAAAAGTTGCTTGGCAGCTTTGAATAAGGATTGCTGTCAAACAGTGGTCAAAGTGGGAAAAGCCCAACCAAGCAAATCCTACAAAACAGGGGAATCCTTCTCTTTGCTCTCAGACTTTTCCAGCTGAATCTACAGCTCGAGATGATACATTTTCTTACTGAGATGAGTTTTTGTTTCTAGTTCACTTGCATGATTCAGCATTTTCAGTTATCAGTAGTTTTATAGTAACCTGCAGCAGGAATAAATCAAGTTTCAGTTACTGGGGTAAATTCGGATCTGAACCAAGTGGCACATCTCATGAGCAGGCGAGGTTGAATGTTTATACAGTTGAGGTTAGTCAGGGAAGTTCTGTTAGATGTCTGACCAGCTGGCTTAAAATACATGGATGTAATTCTGAGTAGGATACTGAAGATATATCTGAACTGTTGCACAGAAAACGAAGCTCCCAAGATCTTGCTGTATATTTTTCACATGTTCTTTTTTTCCTCCTTTATCTTCTTTTAAGAATTCAAATACTTATTCACATTAGATTTGCTTTTTTTTAACCATCAGGGGACACATTTTATTTGAAAGAATTTCTGCATGTTTACTGTTAGCTAATATTTTGATTATTGTCACCGAAAAATTAGTTGATGTATGCTGCTACTCATGATTCCTCCTTGTAAGGAACGTGTTTATTTTGGTTGTATTGTGATACACTAGGCAGAAGTGTGTTCTTCTAGTTAAAATTCACTTACATCATCTAGGCACGGAAGGTCCTGGTGTCAGTGTCTCAGAGGAGAGACAGAGTCCTGCTGAGAGTAGTGGCATAACCATCATCTATAATCCTTATGCTTCCCTTTCTATTGAACAACAAAGACAAAAGCTGCCTGTTTTTAAGGTACGGAAGTTCTTTTGGTATATTAAGTCTATTGTATGATGTTTGGCTCATGTCTCTTCTTGAAAGAGCAGTATAGAACCACTTTACAATTTAAAGTAATAATTTTATGACCTTACTCTCTTCATTTGTTGGAACTGATTGTCCTGTTTGACAACTGTTACTGACAGTTTTAAAGGTTTTGTAGATTTATTTTACTTTATGTTGTACATATCATTTATAAATTTCAAAGAACTGTTTAGCTTTTGGCAGCAAACTACATGCGAAATGAGTTTGCTGTGTCTGTTAGATATGTAAATATGGTCATTTAAATTATTAATTTTGTACATGTTTTTGATACTTAAATGTCATCTTCTCTTTCAGCTAAGAAATCACATACTTTATCTAGTGGAGAACTATCAAACTCTAGTGATTGTTGGGGAAACAGGTTGTGGCAAATCAACACAGATTCCACAAGTAAGTGTCTGTTTAACTTGGTAAAATCGGGTATTCCCTTATGGCATTTTACATGAAACGTTAAACCTGCAACCTAGAACTGCAGTGTGAGAATGGAATTCACCTGTGCTCATGTGTGTGACCAAAAGGAGAGAAATATAAGGAAAAAATAGCAGGAGCTGGTATATCTGTAATATAAAACCTCCTTCCACTACAATAAAGGACCATATTCAACACATAAGTTTATGCTGGTACAAATACTAGTCACTGTGCTATAGTGGGTGTTTATTACTCTATCTGAATCATGTTTATAATTTTGTTGGAGATATGTCTTAATGAAGAAAAAAAGGTACAATTTTTTTACAAACTTTCCTCTTAGAAATTTTTGGAATGTTGTCTTTTTTGTGGTTTTGTAAAACTTTCTCTTTTGTGACAGGAATGAAAAAAGTCTGATTAATGTTTCAATGTTAGTTCTTGATTTTAACTCAAAAAATTGCAGACTAATGATGAATGCCACCTGCCTCACTCTGAGCACAGGACTTGTGCTGCTTAGCTTTTTTTATAAAGAGGTTATAAAATAAAGGAAAGAAGAGAAGAAGATGAAGTAGTTAAAAAATACTCGAAACCCAAAGAACTGCTCCTAGATGTTTTCTGAAAGCACCTGTGCTTAGGAAGTAGGTATTGTACTGTGTTACTTTCAATGGTGAGATTAATAATGCACAAAATCTCTGAGTGACTGATTTGCCTAAGGTCATGCATCATTTAGTGTTAGAACCAGGAAGAAGCACATAGTGTGGAGAGCTAACACCTTGCTGTAATCACAGCACAACCAATTAATTTCTTATCCTCAATATTTGTTTGCAGTACCTAGCAGAAGCTGGCTGGACAGCTGAAGGAAGAGTTGTTGGAGTGACGCAGCCTCGTCGGGTTGCTGCTGTTTCAGTGAGTTTCTCTACTGTGTCCAAATTTTCCCAGTTTTTTGTCATAATAACCTCCAATTTATTAGCAGGTTTTGCTGAATAGCAGGAATCACAACTGTGAGCTCCTGAATGAATAGATGTTTCCACTTATCTTCCTCACAGAACTGCTGGTGCTATACACTGAATTAAACATGATTAGTAGGTCTTGCCAGAAATTCTGAGTCCAGAATTGCACATGTGGAAGCTTTGAAATAAAATTGAATGGTATCAGCAGAACTGTGTATAGCAGCTAGGGCTGTGCAGGTTTGAGCTATGATTGACTGCACTAGAACTGTGCTTGTGTGACCCTTAACTTCTGTCACAAAGTAAAGTAGTGATATAAATCAGTGTGTATTTACATAGCCAGTAGAAGGAGGAGGTTGTGTACCCCTTTCTAGCAATTCATACATATGTTTTTTTAATTTTTTTTTTGTTCTTGTGGGATTTTTTGTTTGTTTCCTCTTGTAAGAGTGTCAGGGAAAAGAGGAGATGATTTTATTGTGAGAAATCTTTTCATATACATAGTATGTCTAGGTGAGCATAATGTCAACTACATGTACTAGGAGAGGAAGAAGAGGAGATGCTGAGGGCAATAACCTGTAGTCTCTGTTAATCCTCTGCACAGAAAGCATCTGGTGTTCCTTGACTTCATAACTGAAGCCAAACACTGACTTGTTGGGCTGAAGTTTCTGCTGCAGCATTCTTTTTGTACAGAAGACTGAGATGCCATTTTGTAACCCTCATTGTGCCTGTTCCTTATAAAGTATTAAAGCGTACCTGCAACAAATCAGCTTATGCCTCTGCTCAAAACGTCCTAGACTGAGCAGCTGTGCAGCCTGCTGTTTCATCAGTGGTCTTTGACCAGATCCAGCGTGGTTAAGCAAACCGTCTCTAGCAGTGAATCTGCATCTTGTGCTTCGGGCAATCTGCCTGCAGTGCCCTCCCTCCCTTTTCCCCTTCATAGGACATCCAGCTGACAGTGCGTGGTACTACAGGAGATACTGTGTACGCTGCAATGATTTCACACATGCCAGACTTACTTCTCTTTTTCTCTTTCATGTCTTAACACATTTTAAAGCCTAAAATAAAAAGGTTACTCAGTTAGGGCTTAGTATATAGACACAGTAGGATTTTTCTTCAAGAATGTCGTTGCAAACTGTGTGGACTGTGTGGCTGTTGCAGGGACATGAGAGACATGGCTGATGATTTACTGCTTTGTCTTGAACTGAAAGCAGTGTTTTTAAGAGGTGTGCTTATCTGTGTTCCCATCTAGAGTATGAGGGTTGTCAGAAGTAAAGATAAGTAGTTTAAGAGGCATAAGGCATAGTTTAGAAATTCCTGAACTTCCCTTTGCATTACCCAGACTGACAATTATCCTGAATGCTTGGGCTGA